AAAAAAAAAATTAAAAAACCGAAATAAAATAATTACAACTCTTAAATATTCTTTGTTAACTCGCACTTTGTGAAAATTTTTTTGTAGCAAATTTTAAATATTTACACCAATAGTATATATTTTTTTTTTAAGTAAAAACTGCATTTAAATAAAACTTTACGCTCATTCGCACTGTAAGATCTCACTTATCTAATATTCTAGCACTAGCGCTCATTTTGTACATATGTATGTCTAAAATGTTTTCTGTGACTGAATTTGAATTTCATTGAATTTTTCTTCAACATTAAATTGTATTGTTGTCGTGCATTAGTTTATGTAGTTTTATTGAAGAGTGTTTTGTGTTTTCTGCAAATGGCCAAAGTTGAAATGAATTGATTACAAATTAAATGTGTTTTGCTGCATACAATTTTCAGAAGAAAAAAAAAACATGGATTACATATATTTTTCGCATCCAACATATTACTTACTATTCGTTTCCTTGATCATATATTTGTAATTAATTTTTTCCTTTCACAAAAGTTTTTCTGCAAATGTGTTTTGCAAGCGTTAAATTTATCACCAAAAAATGCAAAGAAAAAAATTTGCAATATTTTAAAAAATTTTGAACATGCTCAGTTAAATAAAAATCCAAGCAAGCAATGCAACAAAATAATATATCCGAATATCCACTGCTACTACTAAGTCTTGTTGATATCCTTCAGAAAAACAACAACTTTGAACAACTCAACTTGAACACTTGTATGAAAAGCAAAAGCGCCAACTATTGTATGTTCGAAACCTTGTTTGTTTGAATTAATATTTCAGTCACGTTATGCGTTTTCACCGCAGGACACAGATTTCACCTCATCGTATCCAGGTCCATCAATGAATAGGCGCGGTTATAACGATTTTTCAGGCGGCGGCGGCGGTGGCGGAGGTGGTGGTGGTGGTGGCGGCGGCGGTGGTGGTGGCGGCATGGGTTCCATGAATAATATGGCGCCCGCCGCGNTATCCTTCAGAAAAACAACAACTTTGAACAACTCAACTTGAACACTTGTATGAAAAGCAAAAGCGCCAACTATTGTATGTTCGAAACCTTGTTTGTTTGAATTAATATTTCAGTCACGTTATGCGTTTTCACCGCAGGACACAGATTTCACCTCATCGTATCCAGGTCCATCAATGAATAGGCGCGGTTATAACGATTTTTCAGGCGGCGGCGGCGGTGGCGGCGGTGGCGGAGGTGGTGGTGGTGGCGGCGGCGGCGGTGGTGGCGGCATGGGTTCCATGAATAATATGGCGCCCGCCGCCAGCATGAATTCTCTGAATTGCGGCAGCGGCGGCGGCGGCGGTGGTGGCGGTGGCGGTGATGGTCACGGTGGCGGCTCGAATGGCACAAATCTAATTGTGAACTATCTGCCGCAAGATATGACAGATCGCGAACTATATGCTTTATTTAGGACAATCGGTCCTATAAACACTTGCAGAATAATGAGAGATTATAAGGTGAGTTGATTTATCATATTATAATGTTTTTTTTTTATTTATTTATATGTTTATCCTGAACTGTCGTCACTACACGCCTAAAGTATTGTAATACAAATAAATTTACGCCCACCAATGCTGTGCGGTGACCGATTTTTTGTTTGCCCCAATTTACATGCAGTTGCCTAAAAATAACCTCAAAATCACTTTCGCAACTTTTTTATTAATTTTTTATTTTTGTGTGTGTAGAGTTTTACCCGCCTCACTTGGCTGGGAATCATTTATCATCGCGGCTGACAGTGATGTTGCAGCATTTGTTACCTAAAATGGCTTTTAGAATAGCGAAAATATGGAGCGTACATTCTGTTTTTTACATATTTTTATTTCTCCCTCTTTTCTCAATCAAATTCAGTAAAGAGCGCAATGTTTTTCTTGCCGGCAAAGACGGGAAAATAATTATACATCTACATATATGATTACTTCAATGTCCTATACGCTCTTGGAGGCAATAATATAGTTTTATTATTTAGAATGGGTAATGGGTGTGAGGGATATATGATGTCAATAAGGAGGCTGACTACCTAGCGAAACAAGCAACTACCCTTTTGTGGGCTCATCACTAGGCCCTACACGGGACCCTGTTCCCTTCGCTATCACCTCAGTAAAATTAATCTTTCAGGAGCAAACCTCTTTCGCTTTTGCTAGTCCTAGAGACTAGCTCACTTGGGTGGTGCTCATTGAATCTATTGGAAATTCGCAAAAAAAAACACGCCATTGGACGTGCTAAGCTACATTCCCATATGGGGTTCTCTACCACACACAATAGGTCACTTTAGAGGTCGCGGTGCATATGGCCCACAGCAATAATAATATTAATATGTAGTTCAATAGTTCTTATAGTGACGTTTCGAAATAGTCGCCTAAATAATGGATTTTGATACACATTTTAAAATATTTTATTTATTTTTTTTACATAACTAATTTTATTCAATTTATGTATTCAAATGTATATATTTTTTAAATAGATGATGGTAATCCTGTGTATTTTTTTTTTTGGTAATACAAATTTTCTTCATACCAATATTGCATATAGTTTTTTCAACATATTTTTTTTTTACTTGATNGTGAACAATTAAAACTCACTAACAACCTTCCACTGCGGCATTGCACCGCTTTCCCTTTCAATGAAACACTCATATTGATTTCCTTTTGCTTTGTATCCTCTTTGTACAAATTAGAATTTCGAAATGATTTGAATTGAATGAAAGTGAGTGGGGTGCGTGCAGGCAATGGAATTCATTTAATTAATGGCACGATATTGAATTGAAATAAAACGCAGCGTTGTGTATTGAAATGTGGTGAAACGTGGTGAAATGAAAACATAAATTATAAAAGAAGCTATCGAAAAAACAACATAATTGAAAAAAAATAGAAGTAAATTGAGACAAATTTAAAAAGCTATTAAACAAATAAAATGAGAAAATTAGATACTCGTACCTAACAAAGCCGATGAAAAGGTGAAGCACAAAATAAAACGATTTAAAAATCAAGGTAAAAAATAGACAGTTTTAAAATTAATAAAAAAATATAGAAAACTAAAAAGTTAACAAAAATGAAATATAATAAAACAACAAAGAAAATATAAAACAATAAAAAATAAAACAAAGAAATAATAAAGAATAAATAAATATAATAACTTAAATCAAATTAAATTAAAAATAAGACCAAAAAATATCTAAAAATTAGACCAATAAATAAAAATAAAACCAAAAAATTAATAAAATAAAAAAGAAACAAAGATATAAAAAGGTTAAAAAAAATATATATATAAAGGTTTAAACAAAAAATAAATGAAAACAAAAAAAGATAAAAAAGTAATAACAAAAGATAATAAAGTAATAACAAAAGATTAAAACAAAAAAGCAAAGAAAAAAATTAAAAAAAAAGCAAATAAAAAAGATATAAAAAGTTACAACAAAATAAAATAATAAAACAATGAAACAAAAAAATTAAATAGATACAAGGAAATAAATTTATACAAAACATAAATAAATACAAAAAACTAAAGATAAATTAAAAAATAAACTAAAAATACATAGATATCGAAAACAATAAGGAAAGAAAATAAAATTAATTATAAATTACAACAACAAAAACAGTAAGTAAAAAACAAAAAATAAAATAAAACAGAAAAATGCAATAAAAAACGTAAAAAAGTAGAAATTTTAGAAAAAACCATTAATTTTAAGAAGAATATCGAGCCCTAACCCCCAAAAGGGCGTAAGCTGCAGAAAGTTATTTTCCAGTAAGCGTNAAATATATATATATAAAGGTTTAAACAAAAAATAAATGAAAACAAAAAAAAAAGATAAAAAAGTAATAACAAAAGATAATAAAGTAATAACAAAAGATTAAAACAAAAAAGCAAAGAAAAAAATTAAACAAAAAGTAAATAAAAAGATATAAAAAAGTTACAACAAAATAAAATAATAAAACAATGAAACAATGAAACAAAAAAATAAAATAATAAAACAATGAAACAAAAAAATAAAATAAAATAGATACAAGGAAATAAATTTATACAAAACATAAATATATACAAAAAACTAAAGATAAATTAAAAAATAAACTAAAAATACATAGATATCGAAAACAATAAGGAAAGAAAATAAAATTAATTATAAACTACAACAACAAAAACAGTAAGTAAAAAACAAAAAATAAAATAAAACAGAAAAATGCAATAAAAAACGTAAAAAAGTAGAAATTTTAGAAAAAACTATTAATTTTAAGAAGAATATCGAGCCCTAACCACCAAAAGGGCGTAAGCTGCAAAAAGTTATTTTTTATTAACTCGGAAATTACTTTAGATACCAATGTGAAGGTCAATGAAAAAGTTACGTTTGATGTTAGGTATATAATACTGGTGTGGTTTTATTTTCCCATCTTTAATGAAACAGGTGATTTTGTCGCTACGCCCTTTTGGCCGTCACAAAAAAGGCTGCAGCACGCAATTGCGGCGGTTAAGCTATAAATATATATATATAAAATAAACATTTTTTTTTGCATTACCAAAAACCATTTTGATGCCTTTAACTCATTTTTTTTTTTGTTATTAAGTAAACGCTTCTACATACATAACTTATTGGTTAAAATACTATTTGTCTATAAAAACTAATGCACACAAAACTTTCACACAAAAATGTAACAATTCCCCTCTGCAATGAGAAATTGTTCACGGAGAAAAAAAAAATGTAAACAGAGTACAATTAAGCACTTGAACCAAAATTGCTTTCGCTACAACTTTGTAACGGTACTTCGGAGGACTTTAAAATTATGACAGCTGGAACAGAAAATCCAAAATTTTGCGCTTACGCCCTTTTGGCGGTTAGGGCTCGATTTGTTTATAGCTAAAGAATGATATCCATTTTTACCGCAGTATGCCTTTCAATTTATTTAAATACCGCAATCAACAACGCCAAGAAATGACAAATGAAGCGACAAGTAAATCATCAGTTCTTCCACTTTATTGCAATTATTCACTGATATATGTATTTTTTACCCAGAAGAATTCCTGCAGGTAATTAAATTAACTTGAAACCAATTTAAAAAACTACTTTATTTTCAATTATAACTAATTGAAATTCTCACTTTTTTCCCTGCAACGAACTAATTTATTTAACATGGCGATGCCCCAGGAAACGAGTCAATTATCCGACTCTACATTTGATCTCAACTACTTTAAAATGCATTTGGCTTAAAGAACTTCAACTTGAACGGATGCAGGCATGTACAAACTTTTTCTCTCACATGCCGTCATTTTGTCCTGCAAGAAGTACATAAATACCAAAACTTTTCTACTCCATTTTTTATTGTGGATAAAAATAGCAAATCTTATTCTGGCCGTGTGTACAAAGGAGCAATGATGAGCCATGATTAAAATATTTTGAAAGAGAAAAATAAAAATAAATGTGAAAGCTAGGTGCAGCGGAAGTAGAGAGGGGAGAGAGAGTGAGTATAACAGCAATCAAGCGACATGAGCTGAAAAATTATAAAAATTTAAACGAAACATTCTTGAAGTTGATGAAGCGCAAAGAGAGAAAGAAAACTATGTAGCAATATTTTTGTGGGAGATGAAGACTTTTTGTATTTTTTCTTTGAGTGTGAGCGAAAGTTTTTGTCAATGAATATGGAAAGCGTAAGACAATTTCGCGGAACCATGGAAAAAATGTGTGGAGATACATACAGTTTAAATTAAAATAAAGGGAGGCGGTTTAGAATGAAATAAGATGGAATGAAATAAAAAAAAAGAATAAATAAATTAATATAAAGGGCGAAACTATACAGTGTTTACATGAGGCTATTTTACAGCAACTTTTAGTTGAAAGCAACAATCGCCAGGTGTGAACGACCTTTCAACTAATCGCTTTCAATGAAGTTGGGGGGCAGCCAACTTTTGATACAACTAATCGCCTCTAAAATTGCCTGTAAAATCGCCTCATGTGAACACCGTTTGAGCTTAAATGAAAATCGAACTGGAATAAAATAAAATAGACCAGAAATAATAATGAAATGTAAAAGTAATATTAACAAGAATAAACGTAAAATAACACTAAAAAATATATAATAGAAATAAAATAAAATAATAAAAAAAAAACAAATAAAACAACAAACAGGCAAAAAAAAGAAAATAAATCAAATTATTATTATTGCTGCAAAAAGCGGCTATGAAGTCGTCAAATAGATGGTGCGTGTCGATCCTTTTCTCGCGGGTCTATTGAGAATACCTGGTCTATGGTGGATTTCACAGATCTAAAGCTACACTGAGCTTCGACACAATATTCTCAATTCGACCTTGTAATCGTTCATAGAAGGCACTAAGATTACGATTACAGTAATCGTAATTTTAACTGTTTTTAAATTACGATTACAGTAATCGTAATTTTAACTTTTTTTAAATTACGATTACTGTAATCGTAATCTAAGTTCGTTCGATGAAGGATTACTGTAATCGCAATCTTGTTTTTTTAGCTTGTTGGGATTACTGCAAACCTAATCGTTTAGTAATCGTAATCCTTATCGCCCAGCTCTGGTTGGCAGGCCATCAGCTCCACCAGCTTTTTGGTTTTTCAGCCGCGTAATTGCTATTCGTACCTCGTACCGCGGCGGGACATACATATGTATAACAGCAATTGCCATCATTACAGAGGTTGAAATCAAATGCTTGCTGCATATTTTAAAGCTCAGCAATAGTGATGCGGATATGCGGGTGCGGATGCGGAACCCGTATATGGTGCTTGCATACAATAGTTGCGTTCTAGGTGCTTCACGATTTGCAGCCGTTCCCGGTCGCCACCTTCCATGAGGTTTATTAATGGCGGAAGCAGATTTTACTCTACATCCTGTAAAGCTAATAATCACACTATTCCCATACCAATGGCAAAACAAGAAAAAAAACTGAGCGCATTATAATATAGAAAATTGTCATTATTTTGGGCAATTTCTGGATAAACAAGAAAAAATAATATAAACAAGGAAAAGTACAATAATAAAAAATTAACAAAAAAAAAACACAAAAAAATTTACCAAAAAATGCTAAAATAAAACAAGAACAAAATTGATTAATAAGCAAAGAAATAAATAAACAAAAAATTAAAGAAAAGAAACAACAAAAGAAACAACAAAAGAAAAAAACAACAAACAAAAAACTGACAAATAAATTGTGATAATTTAATAAAAAAAGTAAATATTAATAGAAAGTAAAAATTAATTAAAAAGTAAAAATAAAAAAAAGTAAAAATTAATAAAAAAAAGTAAAAATTAATAAAAAAGTAAAAATTAATAAAAAAAAATTAATAAAAAAAAATTAATAAAAGAAAATAATAAAAAAAAATAATGAATAAAGTTGAAGTCAAAACTAAAAACTTTGAAAAAATAAAGTAAAAATAACCAAAAAATTAAAGAAATATAAAATCCATGCAAGGACGGAAAATAATATTCTTTTTTAATTTTAACCAAAAAAATCAACAAGTTGACATCGTCCTAAACCAATTTTAACTACAATCACGTATATTTGTGTACGTACGCGCTACTGTAATTTACAATGATTTTTATTTTTCGAATTTAACCAAAAAAGAATTGAAATCAATAATTAATATTTGAGTTTTAATTTTTCCATCAAAAATAATGATTATATCGAGGCCTAACCACCAAAATATCTTAAGCGACATTTTTTCAAAATTTTGTTTTTGATGCAGAAATTGATCTAGATGCTCTAAGAATAATTCGGCATCAAAAAGAAAGTTTTGAAAAATATCGCTTGCGTTATTTTGGCGGTTAGGGCTCGATATTATGATTGTAAGTTGCGTCTGTATGGCCTTTTCAAATTTATAAATACAGTGAAACCTCTCCTAACGGAGAGTGCACAAGTGCGCTCGGGTATAAAAATGCACTTAACGCAGTGTGCTGAATGCTGTCGATATCTAAGCGTGGCAGATAACAATTTTTACAGGCAGACATGCATCCATCCAGCCAAATACTTTGACATATGTATGTATACCCAACGCTTGTTCGTTTGTTTAGTCACGTGGAAATATTTTGTTGTTTGCAATTGCCAAGCTGTTGCTGCCATCGAATGTTTATAGTGAACTAATACTGACTCCTCCATTCAATTGCATACATATTTAGTAGAGCAAGGCAAGGGAAGCGAAAAAGACGTTTGCCTGCCTGCACTGCTTTGACGGTTCATAGCTCTGTCTTTTCTTGTCTTGTCTTGTATTGTCTGTTGTTGCTATTCAATTTGATTTCATTGTGGCGTCTACGCTTGTGGAATTACGCAGGAGAGGAGAGAAATACTAACAATAATGTTAGCGTACAAACACGTCGTTAAAGCATAAAACAGTTCCCATTCAATGACAATTGTAGAATGCGTGCGGAAAGATTCGCAGAAATTGCTTGAGAAAAAAAAAAAGCCAAACCAAAAGGAAACAAGCAATCAAAGGATGCTAATTTCGTTGATTCATATTGCAATTTTGTTAATTTTTCATCTTTGACTTTTGATAGCAATGAAAGAGAATAACTTTTGCTATCAAATAATCAAAGCGAATTCATATAAGGCGATGTTACCAGAGCAGCTGAGATTTTCGTCTCGGTGATTTTTAATGTCAAAATGATGTATTTCTTGTACATTTGTTGTAATTCATATTGTCACTGCTTAGTGTAATTTATGTTTTTGTACGCCTACGACCACTTTGTATGAACTCATCTTGCAAGTAATACTTTTTTGGACTGAGTGACAAAAACACAAACCATATTTAAGTGAAAAACAAGGATAGGTATAATGTCGATTTTTTTTTTCTGCAAAAAGTGTGACCTTTTCATTGCCCTCTTTTTAGTAGATATTTGTGCGCAGAGTGCAATGAAAAGGTAGAAAAGAAATATGTACATTTTTGCTAGCTTTGTGTAGACTTAGATTTGTTCATTTTGACAGGTACAGAGTTGGCTTCATTTCGATACAAATTTCTAGACAAAAGCATCCTGTGACTACCAAAATGTATAAATCTGTAAAAATGTACAAATCGTGCGATGCCTGCTTAAGAAGGCACATTTTTCGTTCAAATGCAATAAGAATGGTCGCGGGTAGGAAAGAAGGAGCAAAACAGAAATATTTCCCCACCATATTTACGTAGATACATGTATGACTCCTAAGAAATTCTAGCACAATATTAAATCCGAAATATATAAAGTTTAGCCCTACATACATTTGTATATACGTTTGTGCATTTAACTCATTAAATAATTTCTACTACCTTTATTCTAGGTTTCATATGCTCGCCCCGGTGGTGAATCGATTAAGGATACTAATTTGTATGTAACGAATCTACCACGTACAATAACCGACGACCAATTGGATACCATATTCGGTAAATATGGCATGATTGTACAAAAGAATATACTGAGAGACAAATTGACGGGCAAACCGCGTGGCGTTGCATTTATAAGGTAAGTTTTTGGTTCACATTGCATTTTACACAAATTAAATGTCAATTCAAATTTTACACTCGATTATCTTTTCTACCTATTACACTTACAGATTCAATAAACGCGAGGAGGCGCAGGAAGCAATTTCGGCACTGAACAATGTCATACCGGAGGGTGCGTCTCAACCGCTCACTGTACGCCTGGCCGAGGAGCATGGCAAGGCGAAAGCGCAACATTACATGTCACAGCTGGGCTTGATTGGTGGTGGCGGTGGCGGCGGTGGTGGTGGTGGCGGCGGAGGCGGCGGTATGGGTGGTTCAGAAGGCGGCGGCATGGGCGGCGGCATGGGCGGCGGCATGGGTGGCGGCATGGGTGGTCCACCACCACCCATGAATATGGGCTACAACAACATGGTGCACAGAGGTAGACAAAATAAATCACGTTTCCAAAAGATGCATCCCTATCACAATGCACAGAAATTCATTTAAATAATGAAAAAACTCTTATTGATACGATCGCAGTGATTGATGATGATCGTTTGCTCGTAGTATAGACGATCCTTGATAATAAGATTAATAAGATATGATGATTATGATGTTGATAGAGAATTTTTTGGCGAAGCAAACTCATGAAGTACAGATAGACAGACAATGCATGAAAGCGCGGAAAGCTAAGGATAAAAGAAATGTGAATTACAATATTTTTTGTTTTTAAACTTCAACAAGCCCATACTACAACGCGCGGATAGCGTAATAAAAATTGAATAATTTTTTTCTTATTTTTAATTGAATAGATTTTTTTTGTAACTTTTTTTTAAATATTTTCCTTAATTTGTTTCATGCGATGTGAGACATAAAAATCCCTAATATTTATAATAATAATCCGTGTTGCTTCAGCTTTTGGGCTACCTAAGCGAAGCTAAAAAATATCTAGTAATATTCAATTTATTTTTAAGCGTGTTTCTTTTTGTTTTAAGTTTTTTTTTGTAAATGCTGGCTGGTTTAAATCTGATGAGTTAGTATTCTAAAAAGTTGCTTTGATGTAAGTAAAATGTTTTCTTGACATCTAATATTTCGATAATATGCATGCGTTTTATGCGTAATTTCACATAAATCGTAGAACGCGTGGGTTTTTGTATCCGAGTAACTTGTCTGAATATATACACATCAGTTTTTAACTTAAAAAGAGCCGTATTCCCATAGAGGTTTTAAAATTTATCTGCCTTGAAAAAACGTGTTTGAAGGGCAGATAAATATTAAAACCTTCTTGAGAAAACGACAGTAAGCAGTTAAATTCTATTTTTTCTACGGAAAAATTTATATTTTTTTCATATCTTTTTAAAATCTCACAAAAAGTAATTCGCAATTTTGTGGTACTATAAGAATTTAAAAAATTAAAAAATAATCAAGTAGCATACTAATATTAACCCATATTATCTAAATATACATAGAACACATATATTCAAAATATGTAGAGAATACTTATTACATGAAGNAAAAAAAAAAAAAAAAAAAAAAAAAAAAAAAAAAAAAAAAAAAAAAAAAAAAAAAAAAAAAAATAGTGTGGAGCTCAGAAGCAATTTTTTCGCCTTATATATGTAAAATGCGCCAAGAATAACTGCAAATTTGTTCAAAAACGTCTTTCGGGTTTCAAAAACCCTTTTCTTCTCTTTGTAAATTGGGCTGCTTAATGTTTTTGTGCTCCTAAAATAATTTCGATTCAAAGTAACTTTTTTGCACAGCATAATATTTTTTTTTTAGTGTCAAAGGCGAGTATTGACTTTCAGTTTTGAATATTGAAATTTGCTTGCTCATTCGAAATTTCTTGTCGCAGCAAGAAAGCCTGCATACAGAGAAAAATGAAAGGCGCCGCACGGCGCAAGTTTTTAAACAAAACTTTGAAGCTTAAGAAAGTTTGCTATTATATATATTTTTTTTTTGTTTGTGATTTTTTATTTTTTTTAAGAATTTTATATCAACCTAAATATTATAATTTGAAAATGAATAGTTATGTATGTACATACAACTCTGTTCGAAATAATAGCAGTGGCATATAGTCAAAAATTTCTACCGAAGAAAAAATATCTCAGAACGAGATTTCATCTATGATTTTTATTTTGTTTTATTTGTTCATATTTAAGTTTATAAGAAAAACAGTTATCAACAAAAAATACAGCACTCTACTTTTCATATGAATTAAAATTTGCGAAAAGAAACATTTTGATTGTGATTAAAAATAGCAGTAGTCAACATATTACATCAAAAACCAAAATTAAAAGAATTAATTCATTATATAACACAAAGTAAGCCTTAAATTATTAATATTTCGTCGAATGGCCCTTATTCGCGAGCACTGCTGCGCACCTACGAGGCATAGAGTCCACCAAACGCCTACACCTCTCGACGGGAATGTCCTTCCACGCCTTTTTCACAGTCCTCCAGAGCTCTTTGACATTTTTGGGATTATCTTTGCCTACAGCTTCTTTGACATCTGTCCAAAGATTTTCAATGGGATTGAGGTCAGGTGATTGAGCCGGCCAGCCCATGACCTCCACCCCTTTTGAAACGAACCAATTTTTTGCCAACCTGCTGGTATGCTTTGGGTCGTTGTCTTGCATATACACCCATTTCAGAGGCATCTTCCACTCTGCATGTGGTAGCATGGTTGACTCCATTATCTCCACGTACAACTTGGCATCCATGTTTTCTTTTATCCAATATACAGGACCAGTACCGTGATAGGAGAAGCAGCCCCATATATTGATTTTGGCACCTCCATGCTTTACTGTCCTGGTAACAAATTTTGGGTTAAAAGAAGAATTCTTTGGCCTTCGGACAAATAGTCTGCGTCCTTTGGAACCAAATAACACAATTTTGGTTTCATCGGACCATAAGATGTTCCTCCATTTTTGAACTGGCCAGTTCAGGTGCTCTTCAGCAAATTTTTTCCTGGCCTGTACATGTCGTTGCTGCAGTAATGGTACCTTCCTCGGGCTTCTTCCGAAAAGTTTAGCTGCAATGAGCTTCTTTCTGATCGTTGACGAGTCCACATTAAGATTCAGCTCATCTCTAATCTTTTTGGAGGTATAAAAGGGTTTTTCCCGCGCCAGAGCCAGTATTTTTCTCAGCTCTGGCTTCGAAAGAGCTTCTTTGCGACCTCTTGTTTCGCTTTTTGGCGTCCATTTTCTAGCGTTAACAACCATTTTTGCTGAACAGCCGAGCAAATCCTGGATAAACTTGTAAGTTTTCCCCTCCGACAGCAATTTCTTAATAAGTTCTCGTTTTTCACCCGTGCAATGTTTAGCGCGACCCATTTCTCGAAAAAAATCGTACTAATGTTTTGCAGCCAATGTATTGGTATAAAAAAACGTACACAGACCTAAAAATATTTAAAAAAATCTCAATTTCCCTCGAATTCGTCTAATTGCGTCGACTACTTCGGTTGCACTGCTATTTTTAAGCACAGTAAAAAAAGGAGTGCGTAGCTCAAAAATTAACGGGACTCTTTGAACATGGCAACTAGATCAGAATCTAAAGTAAATTCAGTGGTGCGGTATTTAGGGCTACCATCTGGCACCAAAAAGTTTTATTAGCAGTTGTTATTAAAATTAAATTAAATTCGAGATATATTTGTTATAAGCCACTGCTATTTTTTCGAACAGAGTTGTATATGTACTATTTTTTTTTATATATTTTTTCTTTTTAATTTTTTTAAATTTTTTAATTACACATTTTTTTGTATAAGTTTTTTTTTTTAATAAAGTTCGCCGCGATTTAGCAAATGTTTTTTTTTTTTTTTTTTTTTTAATATTAATTCCTAATAATTTTTGTTTTATGCTTTGAACAATATTCATATGTATAATTGTAGTGCCAGTCGCAAACAAATCCAAAATGTTCGCCCAGTTTATGCCAAATTTCTATGCTTACAGTGCCCTTACATATGTATGTATGCACGTATATACATACATATTTAGCGTCGCTAAACACGAATAATGGCGCGAGGTCAAAAGTTGACCACGCATAAGAAAACTTCAGCGAAGAAATACTCTTAACATGGTTGACGGCGAAGAAAGACGCGTTAAAATATTTGACCGCCAAGAAGGACGCGTCAACTGTTTTCCCGGGTGTAACAGTATGTTTACGGGTGTAACAGTATGTAAATTCCCCAAAGAGTTTTTGGGGAGTGATGCTGAAGTGACATCCCTTGGTCAGGTATAAATCTATGTTTACGTGTCTTTCTTCGCCAAAGTTTTTCTTAAGCGCCCTTTTCCGTAAATTTTTTTTACGCTTCTTTTTTCGCCGTCGAAACACTAGTGCGCCTTTATTCGTGTCTAGTGACGATAGTTATATTGTGTACATCTTATCTACATAAAAACTTCAAAAATATTGGTTTTTGAATATGTGTCATAACACCACATTTTTTCAAATTTGTCTCTTTCAGCCAAAACCACTTAATCGTAAAAAGCTACGTACAGATCTTTAAATTTCATAACAAAAAAATTAGGGCTGTGCGATTAATTGATTATAAAAAATTTTAATTAGTCATAAAGTAAATAACTTATTCGATTAATTTGAAATCATGATTACTCAAAAGTTCAGTTACTCGAGTAATCAAGATTATGATTAACCGAAAACAAAGATATTTGAGTAATTTGCTTTATAAATATGTAATCAACATTAGTGGTATTCACCAAGTTGGTCAAGTGGCCCGGCACTCTGGCAAAAGAGCAAATGGGCTCAAGTAACGACTGGACAACAGTAGTTACTTGAGCTGAGCTGCTCTTTTACCAGACTGCTAAGCCACTTGCTCACTTTGGTGAATACCACTATTATGAGTAAAATGCGTAATCAACATTTCAAAGTACTCTTTACATATAAAAAAGTTGAAATTCATTGATACTTTGAAAACAACGTTTCTGTTTTCAAAAATTAAAATTAAATATTTTTTTCATATGCAGAATGTAAAAAAGAAAATAAGCATTTTCCAAAGCAGAGAGCAAAATTAATTTTTTGAGTGATGCTATTTCAAGTAACTCGATTAATCATCGTTTTGAGTAATCAAAATCTTGATTGCTCGAGTAATTGATTAACCGAATAACTGATTAACCAACTTGCTCGAGTAATCGAATAATCGCACAACCCTAAAGAAAAATACATTCTTTTATAGGAGTTTTTGCTAATTTAAACATCGGGGGTTTTCCCTCACTTTCTTCATACCTTTTCTCCAAGATAATAAAATCTCTTACATTCCTACAACAATTTCTTCCGAAAAATATCTTCCGTTTAAACAATTAGCATTTAAACTTAAAACGTAACGTATTAGCCAAATGCATCCACACAAAAGAATACACACGAAGAATGGTGAGTTCATCAAGAAATATTTATGCGCTTGCTGCAATGAAAGTCATGATTTGTTTGTGTTAAACGAGGAAGTAGTTCAGTGCTCTCTGGCGCTTATGAATTATGTTACGCAGATACATACATATGTATATATGAATGTTTCTGGATACACTACAATTCTCAAAACCGACGTTAATTTTCTTAAAATCGTTTTATAGGGCTCTACCCTTTACCACTGGTAGGGTTCAGTAGAACA